CTTCAGCATAATATTATGTGATCGAGAGAAAATACTTTAGATAAACCTTTTCTGATGATTACAAAATAGTAGGACTGCTATTTATACATTTGGGCGAAGCAGCTTAAAAGAAAACTAAAGAAAAGAAGAGAAAACTTTGCAGCAGTACTCTCCAAATGAAAAGCCTTGGAATGGGCTCTCGGTGGGAGAATGCAGCCTCTCTCCCCTCTGTCCTCTGCCTCCTACCCCATTCAAAGGGAACCCAAGGGGCCTCTGCAACCCTGACCCATGGCTCTTTCCTGAATGCTCAGGAGGCTGGGCCATTGCTGTCTATTCTTTTCTATGTGTGCTTTGCATGGATTTCTGGCAACCCTTTTTATGGAATCCAGAAAATACCTTTGCATAGGAACAAAACCCCTAGGGCTCTCTATGCATCCACAGCCAGGGGGCGCCACAGGGCAGCTCTTCCGCACACCCACTACACATGTGCTCACGCTGACAGGACATGCGCTGGTTTGCATTAAATACCTAGACAAATAACACCCCTGATCCTCCTAACGACAGCTAGAATAGACACCGGTATTCTTTCCTTCTCTTTTGAGCTTTTGAGAAAACTACACTGAGTTGGCTGAGGTTCCACCCCAACTAACCGGTCACCTATGCGTTGAACCCAACTCTGCCCGCCCCTGTGAGCCACTCCACCAACACTTTTTTTTTTTTGGTCGGTCATGGGGCCTAAACTCTGGGCCTGGGCGCTGTCCCTCAGCTCTTCAGCTCAAAGCTAGTGCTCTACCACTTGAGCCACAGCGCCACTTCCGCTTTTCCTGCTTATGTGGTGCTGAAGGCCTCATGCATGCAAGGCAAGCTCTCTACCACTGACCCATCTTCCCAGAATCATCCACACTCTTACCTGGATTTCAACCTCCCTTCACCCAACCGCCCCCCTCCCCACCGCCCTCTGTGCCCAAACATGGTAAAGCAATAGGAAAAACACAAGAACACTTGTTGATATTCGGTGAATCTTGAGTGAAGAAATGCACCCAACAAATAATCTGATTAATAAATGGACAAAGAGTTTTCCAAAGAAGAAGCAAATGCTGGTGAGGAGGCCCAGGGAGGAACTCTTATACACTGTTTGTGGGAAGTGAATTAATATAACCACTGTAGAAATCAGTATGGAGGCTCCTCAAAAACTCCAAATTTAGCAACTACAGTATTATCCTGCTATATTACTCTCAGGTATATACCTGAAAGAATATAATCCACCTAAAACAGAGACACTTGCACACCTCCATCCTTGGAGGAAGAATGTTCACAGTAGCCAAATTATGGAATCAGCCTAAGTATCTAACAACTGATTAATGGATAAAGAAAATGGGGCACATATACACCGTGGTATATTACTCAGCCATAAAGAAAAGTGGGATCAATGTCATTTGAAGGAAAGTGGATGGAACTGGAGATCAGTATGTTGAGCAAGGTAAGTCAAACTAAAAAAAAATTTTTAATGAGTATTGCATGCTTGCATTTTTTTGCTCATCTGCAAAATCTGGACTTTAGGGGGGAAAATAATATGGCATGCATATTAAAACAGGACTGCTTGGTGGGGGTAGCAAGCAGGAAAGAGGATGGGGAAGGGAGACGATCATGGAGGATAAAGATGATTGAAGTACTTTATATGGATGGATGGAGAGAACATCATGAAACCCACTAAAAATGGTTAAAGGCAAAGCAGAAGGAGGAAGGGCTAAGTAAGAATATCCAGATGAACTGGATTCAAGTCCATTACATGCAGATATGGAAGAGCAGAAGGAGAGCCTGTTGTACAATACATGTTCACTAACAAGAACAAAAAGAACAGGAAGGCAATGAGCCTCCCCTGAGAACATTCTCCACCCACCAGGCCTGGGCTGAGGAGCCGCAGGAAGGCAGGGGAGGCAGCTGACCTCCAGAGGCTGGCTGTCAGAAGCCAGGCACCAATAGCGACTCTGCTCCTCCAAGGCAGAGTGAAAGGACTTTCTCCCTGCTGTGTGTGGGACCCCCAGTTGGTCCAATTAGAGCTGATTTCAGAATGTGTCTAGAAGAGACTTAAAAAAGAAAAAAGACCAAAGCTACGGCTTTTACAGACATTCTTTTTACCAGGGGGAAACAATTAGCACGGGGATAAAGCCAACAGACAGAATGGGACCAAGGGACAAGGAAGAGTCCCGCAGCCCAGGTGAATTATTTCCCATTCCTGTTTCCGGTTGGCCAAGAGCACCTCTGGCCATCAGCCCTGCTCAGACACAAAGAACCAATTAAAGCCATTTTCTTTTGCCTAAGAAAAACAACCCGATGTCAAATCTTTCCTCGTGGCCGCCAAGAGCCTTCCATTTCTGGAGTGTCGATGTGATTCAAAGGCAGCTGAGGGTCTTGTTCAAGGTCGTGAAGTCATTTCATGGCTGAGTAGGTGCGTGAACGCGGATGCCCCAGGACCCAGCCCAAGGTGCATTTCAGTACAAACGCTGCCTCTTACCCAGCGGTAAAACTGCACTCCTCCCTTTCAAACAGGAGGAGTTTAAATACTTCCTGACCTGGAATCACCTACGCAGTGGCCCAGACTTTAGCTCACTGTGAGCTCCTCTGTTCAGGACAAGAGGGCCACTGGACAAAATTTAAAAATGGGCAGTGTCTCAGGGTCTTTAATTATCTCCCCGACATGCAAGAACGGCCCTCCGAGCAAAACCTCAGCAGCCAACTGTCCCTTCCTCGGTGGGGTTTCTATGGCCGTGGAACAGCTTCTAAATTTAAGCTCTTACTGCCTTTTAATTGGCTGGTTAAGTTCTGTCTCCCGCCCACTCTTGCTACTAGCTGAGCCTCAGGCTACTAATTACCAGCAAGACAGGTCAGTTGTCCTGTCTGCACCAACTCCATCATTGCTGACATCCTCACACAATGACAGGCTTACCCCTTTCCAAAAAAAAAAGGAAATCTGGGTTAGCTAGAGTTTGGCTTCGTTCTCATGAATACAGGAAGCCAGTATCCCCATCCATCACGTCAATTATTTAGCTAGAATATCCTGAAGCTAAAATGGGTCCGTCCATTCAACAAACGGTATGTATTCAGAATCTTTTCTGGGCCCAGCCCTATGCTAAGACCCTGTGTATATACAAGAGATTTTAAATAGACAAGTTCTTGGCTAATATCCAGCACGAGAGATGGGCTGCGACCCAGTGAAAAGTCAGACAAGTAGAGGAATAAATAGTGTTCACAGCTTAAATAAATGAGATTAGGGGGATCAGGGGAGAATGCTGTGAGGAAAACCAGGGGAACCCAATTCAGATAAAGCATGGGGGACGAGAAAAGTTACGGCAATGAAGGGACAATGAAGAGACACAAATAATGGGAAGGTTCCTTGTAGGTCTGAATAGAGAAAGGGGGTCCACACGATGGAACATAAAGACCAAGGCAGAAGTGGATGGAATGCAGGGATTGAAAGAGCTAAAAAAAAAGACTAGAAGGGAGGGACAGACAGACAGACAGTATTGAAGATAAACTGGATGGGTGGAAGAGGCCTTGTGTGCCAGGAAGAGATGTTTGGTTTTTGTTCTAGGTATGACACAAGCCAATGGAGGATTCGTCTACACCATTTACTCACTCATCCATTCATGCATCATTGCATGTGTCAAGAGTTTACTGATCACCTATCATTTCAGATACTAAGAATAGGTCAATACGAACAACAAATTCTGGGGTTTCCCGAGGCTTCCGGTCTATGTGGGGACTTGAACACTGAGAGGCGATCTTTCTTGCCAAGTCATGAAAAGATCGTTGTGGTTTACTATGAAGAGTAAAGGGAGCGGACCCAAGGGGCATCTCTTGTTGTCAGAGGAGAGGGAGAGAAATGGAGGTTCTCTGTGTTGGATACCAGAGACTATCATTCTTGATGCCCCTTCTGAAAAGCATTTCTTTTCCTATTTCACTGGACTGACAATGGCTTTGCATGGCTCTGTTCTTTCCTCTCCCCAGTGGTCCACAGAAATATTGTGAGACTCAAACTGAACTACCATCTGTGGTTCAGAAAGGGCTGGTTCAGGGCAGGGCCTCAGAGGCTGAAGCAAGAAGTGTGGTACCCTCAGGCTGAAAGGGAAATAGAGAGACAGCGCTTCACTCCTCCCCTCCTCCTGACAACCTATCTTCCCATGGTTTCTCTGCTCTTTCCATCCCCCCCCCC